AGGGAAGGAAGACACTTGGACCTGGGAACGAGATAAGTTGGGTGATTACTCTACAAGCTCAGGATACACTGCTTTGGTCCAACATCAACCCTCACCATACTGACAAGTTTTTGAGAAGATTTGGAACCCCCTTATTCCTCACAAAGTCTGTGGATTCACTTGGTTACTACTACTTGACAGGATTCCCTCAAAATTCAACTTGTTGAAAAGGGGATTAATTAAGGAGATGGAGGCTGTTAAGTGTAGCCTTTGTGGACAGAATGTGGAAGACAACAACCATCTTTTTCTCCATTGCTCAGTTACTACAAAAATCTGGTCAATGTGCTTCGAATGGTGGGGCTTCTCCATTGCCATTGCTGGTTCATGTTGGGATTCTTTCATCCAACATGAATCCTTAGCTACTAAAAGTAGTGAACGGCTGGGTTGGATTATAGTGTGGTTTTCTCTTGTCTTGACCATCTGAACTACCAGAAATGAGGTAATCTTTAGAGGTAAATCGATGGATTTGACAAAGACTTTCGATCAAGTTCAGGCTCAAGCCTTCCTTTGGGTCAAGAGCAAAGGAAAGGAAGTACATTTCTGCTTCTCTGATTGGATCTTAAACCCTAGGTGTTGCAAGGTTTTGTAAATGGGTCTCCCAACGCTATACTGTTGTTTGGTTCTTCATTCTATTAGGGATTGACTAATGTATACAGGTTTGGGTACCCCTTGTACTCATTCAATTAAATCTTTTGTCTTTCGAAAAAAGAAAAAAAAAGGTTTGATAAAAATGAGGCTACCCTAATAGTATCTAAAAATTTAGCATATGAGGTTAAACATAAGATAAGCATTTAATGTAAACCAATCCAACAATCCATCTAATTATATTTAAACTGCATATTTTTTTTCTTATTTTTTTGAAAGTCAGATTCTTTCCCTTAAGAATATCAATAGATTAGATTTTTTTTTTTTATAATCTAAAAATACCACTGTGCATCACGTGTTCTGAAGCCCAAAATATGACTTTTTTCTTTTCTCTTGATGTTAACTTTTTATTTTCATTCATCTCTTACGTATATTATTAATTAAAAATCACGAGAGAAACTATCGGCTTCTCTCTCAGTCTAAACAGAATCCCAACTACCTTTTTTTTTGAAGGGCAGAATCCCAGCTACCTAATATGCTACAAATTATTAACTACTCGAGTTCATCACGAAATCGAACATTTTCTTAATGAAAATTTAATAAATGATATTTAAATTTTTGTTGAAAAAATAAAACGATCCAACAAGAAAAACATACAAAAAAAATTTAATTATCTCTCATATAATTTATTAAATTTTCATCTAAAATTAATGTTCAAAGTCAAATTAAACCTTAAATATTGCAAACACAGTACCATCTCTTATAATTACGTATGAATCCAATGTGAACTTATTTCTTGGGTGTGTGTGTGTGTGTTTTTTTTTTTATAATATCATGTCTGGTTGTTTCCCACAATAAGAATATTTATATTCTTCACCGCAATTAACGCTTGAAAACCGCGCGGTTACGCACAGCCTGCATCGTTAGTTTTAGCTTGAAACCTCTTCTTAAGAGAAATGCTCAGTGTGGGGCCGCTTAGAACAGATATTCCTGGTATATTCTCTAAAGTTTTTTAATCTCCTAATCATATATCCCTATTTTTTTTTCATTAGAGTTTTAATTGTTTGGTAATACAGAATTTTAAATTTTTTATTATTCACACTACCGGAGGATGTCATCGAAAGAAAGCGATAGCCAGCACATGGAATTTCAAATTAAAAAGACAAGCTCTTACTTTTTATTTAAAATGAATCAATGTAAAACAATACATGATATTTTCAATTAAAATCGAGGTGAATTCTCTTATTTTTAATATAAAATTAGAAATT